TAAACTGTAGTGAGAAATGGAAGAAACATCTACTCTTTAACTCCTTATGGAATGAATGGTTAAACTGTATTGGGAAACAGAAGAAACATTTACTCTTTAACTCCTTATGGAATGAATGGTTAAACTGTATTGGGAAACGGAAGAAACATTTATAGATGTTTCTTCCATTTCTCACTACAGTTTAACCATTCATTCCTTAAGGAGTTAAAGAGTAAATGTTTCTTCCGTTTCCCAAACTAGTTTAACCATTCATTCCTTAAGGAGTTAAAGAGTAGATGTTTCTTCCATTTCTCAATACAGTTTAACCATTCATTCCATAAGGAGTTAAGGAGCTCTTTAACTCCTTATGGAATGAATGGTTAAACTGTATTGTGGGACTTTATTACCTTGTTGTAATGAAACGATAACATTTCAACTTACTTCCGCTTGCCTATATCAGCGGAAGTGGGTTACTGTGCTGTAAATGTTTCGTCTCAATGCAAATTACTCGAATTACCATCTTGTTCTAACTACCGATTATTTGGACTCCAGACTTCCTTCAATAACTATCAATATATAATGTTATTTATTATAACTAGGCCTATCTTATTTTCGTCTTCATTGTCTATTTAAATCCTGTTTATTTTTTTCCAGAACTACTCTTCACAATCATCTGATTTTAATAATTTGTCTTGTAATCATCCTGTCCTCATTTATATTGTACGTATTTGTTTTTACTTTTTCCTGTGGAAGACAACCCAGCGTGGCCCAGTGGTTAGCTTGCTGGATGGTAGATTGAGGTTCTGTGGGCGCTTTATAAGTATGAAGATCAAGTCCCACTCTTAGGTCTATGAGGATTTGGCGGTTGGTGTTGCTGACTAGCTGCCTTTCCTCTAGTCTATTATTTCAAAATTAGAGACTGTAAGCGCAGCTATCCCTTGGGTAACACTCCGTTAAATTTAGAAAAGAAACCCAAGCTAGTTTTTATTTTTTTCATTTCCATTTTCTACTTTTCTTTTTAGTACACCCAACTTAACTTCCCTCTTTCCTTCTCTCCCAATGGCTCAGCAGTAAGTCTGCAGGCTTACAACGTTAAAAAATTGTGTTTCGATACCATTGTTGGGCAGAGCACAGATAGCCCATTGTGTAGCTTTGCACTTAACAACAACCAAAAAGCTAAATTCTCTGTTTATCTAGTTTAATTTCTCAAGTATAATTGATTCCTTTTTCATCTCCTTTTCTGTTTCGTTTGTTTACTTTATTCCTTGTTTTCCACGAAACAGTTCTCCGAGAAGGAAATCTTACTGTTGGAAAAGTTTATGCAGGTTTGCTGATCCTAGAAAACTGGAAATCCACACGATTCGGCCAGCTATCAACAAGATCAACTGTGAGTAAACCATTCCAAATATATCTCGGCAAGTTAAGCCATTTTATAAAGACGTGTGTATTATAGTCTAATCAAATCAACTGTAATTTGAAGACTGATGTGCAGAATTTTTATCCAACAAATTTGATTTGTTTTAACATGAATAATCTCAAATAATTAATAATCTTAGAATTAGTTAGCCACCATCCTTTGTATAGTTTATCTTAACTTATTTTTAATTTTTTTTTGTTTGAATTGGGGCAATCTCTGAATTGGTAAATCTCTGGATTTTGGAGCTGGCGAGCCAGGTTCAAATTTCTGTGACAGCACAAAATATTCCCTGCATTTTAACTTAAGTGGTAGGGTACGTTAAGAACGTGACAGTCAATCCTTTAACTTAAGTGGTAGAGTACGTTAAAAAAGTGACAGTCAATCCTTTAACTTAAGTGGTAGGGTACATTGAAAAAGTGACAGTCAATTCTTTAACTTAAGTGGTAGGGTACATTAAAAAGAGACAGTCAGCCCTATAACTTAAGTGGTAGGGTACGTTGAAAAAGTGACAGTCAATTCTTTAACTTAAGTGGTAGGGTACATTAAAAAGTGACAGTCAATCCTATAACTTAAGTGGTAGGGTACGTTAAAAAAGTGACAGTCAATCGTTTAACTTAAGTGGTAGGGTACGTTAAAAAAGTGACAGTCAATTCTTTAACTTAAGTGGTAGGGTACTGCTGAATAGCCTCCTTCCCACTGGTCAGTAACTCAAGATTAGGGATGGCAGCAGATAGCCTAAGTATCTTTGTCATAAATACAAAATGTAAATACTTGTTCGGATGGTTTATTGTACTATAAGGTATACCATGGCACTAAACGTTTTGCCTAATATATTTTGTGGAAGTATTCTAGATATTAGTGTTCATAAGTTTAAATATCAAGTTAACATCACATAATCATAAGATTTTTCCTAAATTCTCTCTCATTCCTTTACTGTTTATAATCGTTACAACATTTAAGAAGCTCTAGACTAGCGAAGCATGAACAGAAACAACTTTTTTTTTAATATGTAAAGAAATGTTAAGTAGGAGTTATAAGAACTGTGGGATAAACATAGTTATTACAAACTGTGGGATGAACACAGTTATTACAAACTGTGGGATAAACAAGTCATGGTATATTACACTATTGTTTGTTTCCATAATGACCCATTCATTACAAGTCATGGTATATTATACTATTGTTTGTTTCCATAATGACCCATTCATTACAAGTCATGGTATATTCCACTATTGTTTGTTTCCATAATGACCCATTTATTACAATTCATGCTATATTCCACTATTGTTTGTTTCCATAATGACCCATTCATTACAAGTCATGCTATATTCCACTATTGTTTGTTTCCATAATGACCCATTCAGTGCAAGTCATGCTATATTCCACTATTGTTTGTTTCCATAATGACCCATTCATTACAAGTCATGCTATATTCCACTATTGTTTGTTTCCATAATGACCCATTCAGTGCAAGTCATAGTACATTCCATTATTGTTTGCAATGTGCTGCGGGTGTTGTTAAGAAAAATACAAAACATTTATTGGTCTAGATCGTTTAGTTGATCTCTTTCATAATGTATTTCAGTCTGTAACACGTTTTGATTATGAGTAAGCATTGTTTGCTAGAGGTTGATTTTATTGTATATATATAGATGAATGTATTAAAATCATTGTGTATTTGTTCTGTTTTCAGGAGGAACTCTCCCCTTCTCCACAAAGTGATACAACGGTAATTCGTAATCCTTTATATTCCATTAACATTTAAACTTTTCCTGCATTGTGGTGAATAGTGTGTTAGGAATTTGTTTTAGAATATTCTCAAACCATTTTTCTGCTTGCAAGTTACAACAAATAGATTAAAGCTAATGACGTCTTGAGCCTTTGCATTAGGGTTTGAAAAATTGGTCCTTCTTACATCTTTATGTACAAGTCAAAATTAGTATAGGAATTGCTGGTTTTTTATTCTAGATGGCAGTGTTTTTTTTAACAAAAACATAATCGCAAACGTGCACATATTATTCCATTTTGTTGAGTGATTTTGTCAGTAATGATTAATGATTTTTCCTCTTCATCTACATCGTTTAGCGGACATCCTTACTGCATCGACTGATGGTCAGAAATTCAAACGTGCGTGCTAGTCAAGAGAGTCTCAACCAACACGATGATTATTACGAAGATGCAGAGTGTCGTTCTATTGGTTCACGCAGAGGCTCGTTTCGAGGCTCGAAAATCAGGTAATAAATGTCTTCAATTAGTCATTCTTTTCTTTTATATACACTACTTGCTAAATGATGTTTTGTACCTACATAGTCAAACTAAGGTGATCGTGTATTCTTCACCGGCTGTTTAGAACTATTAAAATACAGGAAGAGAACACTGGAACAACAATATTGTACAATACATCTACTCTATCGACCAATTATTTAATTCAAGTGATAAACAGAATTCAAAAGTACAGCATCGAAGATTGATTGATAACTACTGATGTATCCATACTGTTTTTGTTGTTGTCAGCTGGTAAGTGTTTCTTCCATTTCTCACTACAGTTTAACCATTCATTCCTTAAGGAGTTAAAGAGTAGATGTTTCTTTCATTTCCCAATACAGTTTAACCATTCATTCCATAAGGAGTTAAAGAGTAGATGTTTCTTCCATTTCTCAATACAGTTTAACCATTCATTCCTTAAGGAGTTAAAGAGTAGATGTTTCTTCCATTTTTCAATACAGTTTAACCATTCATTCCATAAGGAGTTAAAGAGTAGATGTTTCTTCCATTTCTCAATACAGTTTAACCATTCATTCCATAAGGAGTTAAAGAGTAAATGTTTCTTCTGTTTCCTTTCCCGCTGATGTAGACAAAGCGGAAGTAAGTTGAAACGTTATCGTTTCATTACAACAAGGTAATAAAGTTCC